CTGGGAGGCACTGGCAGAGTTGAGATGTGATGTCACTTGAAAGGACGTCACTGCCCTGAGCAATCAGCCCAGGAAGTCCTTGTCATTGGGCTTGTAGTTCACATGCCACGGACCGTGCGCTGCACAGACTCTGCGTGCAAGCTAGAACCCAGGGCTACTGAGGGCCCCGTGTCCACCGCCTGGGCCATCTTAGTGGAGCTGCTGGACAAAGCCCCTGCCTGGGGCCCAAGGCCCAGGAACAGCTGTCACTGAGGTGAGAGCCCAGGAAGCCCCGGGCTTCCCACACCCGGGGTCTGTCCCCATGGTAGCACGGAGGTCCCTGGGCTCCCACACCTGGCCAGGCACGGTGGCAGGAGGGTCAGGAAGCTCCTGCTCAAGGTGCAGCCACTGTCTCAAAGACAGACCAGCTCCCGTGCCTGGCGGGCAGCCTGCTTGGCATCAAGTTGCCTTTCTGGGGACCTGCCCTCCACGCTGGGGACGTGGTCGCATGTCCAGTTACAGGTGATCCCAGGGTCCCTGAGAACTCCCAAGTGGCAGGGGAGCTGCCTTGTTGAGTACCCAGCCAGAGGGCCAACAGGAGGTGCAAGAGCGATAGCCTTCTGTCTGGTCTACCAGACCTGCCCTGGGGTCCCTGTTACTGGTCCCCATGCGGGCCACACATCTCAGCAGCCTCGGGGAATGGACCAGGCACCAGCACAGGTGACCACCCAGTGCAGCCAGCCCCCACTGGGAAGGCATGTGGGTGCCAGGGTCAAGGTCCCCTGCCACACCTGATAGGGCTCAGCACAGGGAGGGCACCATGCTTCCCACCAGGCCCAGAGGCATTCTTCTGTCCACTGAGGGGGTGGTAGAGGGAGCCAGAGTCCACAGCTGCCATTTGGCCAGACTGAAGTCACCAGCTACCAACCGGGGTGGGTTCTGGCCCAGGTGGGGCTCCGGGGAGCCCCCCTCCTGTAGCTCAGGTAATACAGGTCCAAATACAATGGCAGCATCGTGGCCCTTTGCACCTGGGCTGACAGCTTTGACCAGAGGGAGCAGCAGAAGTGACACTGCAGTGTCTTCCAGCCTGGCTTGGGTGGTATCCCTGGAGAAACCACTGCAGATGGTGGCAGAGGGGGGCCACTCTGCTGCCCCCTCCCCCTGAAGGGCCCGTCCTTGTCACATCAAACCTGAAAACATTTGGATGATTTTAAAAGGAATTCCACCAGTGTTGAGGCACCTGGCTGTCCAGTTGCCCCAGGCACTGTGTCCCCTGTGGTGATGGAGCTGCTCCTGGATCCTGCCCTGGGGGTTCATGCCTGGACAGACTTTGTGTCTAGAGCCCAGGGGAATGGCGGGGACAAGGCTGGGGTGTCTCTGCGCTAGCCTGGGCTGAGGCTGGGTGGGGCAGCAGGCCATAGGCAGGCAGCCTCACTGGGGCACCATGGGCATGCCTGGGCTCAGCTGGGCATGCAATGTGTTGGAGACAGAGCTGTGTCCCTGGAAAAGGTAAGTGGAGCTTCTAGCTTACTTGTGACGGGCCTTGTTAGGAAATGGAGTATCTGGAGATATGATTAGTTACGTTCACACAAGCTGAGGCCAGAGAAGAAAAAGCCCAAGCTAAACGCACTGGGAGCCCATTCCAACTTAGGGTGACCTTCCAGGGCAGAGTTCAGCCACCCGGGACTTGGGAGGGAGGCTGTCTTCTCACCAGAAGCAGGCTGCCCCTCCGAGCCAGTGGAGCCCATGGTGGGTTTGAAGACCCCACAGGCTCTTCTCATTTGAAAACGTTCCTTATGAAAGAGCACCAATCTAAATGGGGTGGGTGCACCCCTGTGCAGATGTGTCCACAAGCCAAGGGATGCCTGGGGCTGCCACAGGTGCCCCTCCTGATGACATCCTGGTCTTGGACTCCAGGCCTCCCCTGCTGAGGGCGGGGTGGCTGGGGGGGAGGAGAAGACGGATCCATTTCTGTTTTTATAAGGCACCCACATGCCTTCCCAGTGGGGGCTGGCTGCGCTGAGTGGTCACCTGTGGGGGGAGGTCAGATACGCAGGCATTCCCCCCTGA